GTGGTTGTGTGGTTGTGTGGTTTGTGTGGTGTGTGTGGTGTGTGTGGTTGGGTGTGTTTGTGTGGTTGTGTGTGTGCGTGTGTGTGTTTGTGTGTGTTTGTGTTTGTGTGTGTTTGTGTGCGTTTGTGTTGGTGTGTGTGTGTGGGTTTGTGTGTGTTTGTGTGGTTGTGTGTGTTTGTGTGAGTGTTTGTGTGAGTGTTTGTGGTTGTGTGCGTTTGTGCATATGGTTGTGTGTACTTGTGTTTGTTAGCATCCCTTCCGCGGTGGAAGGTCGGCGGAAGGCCGGCGGCAGGCGGCGGAAGGCCGGAATGTGCCCCCCAAGAAATCAAAACATGTGTGGGCTCAGGGTTTTCCAAAGCCGCCAAATATATAGATACATATATATATATATACACACAAGCCTGCATTGGCGTTTCGCGCCATGCGTCTTGTTCCGGACGCATCTCGCAAAAGCAATAAGTCATCGCGTGTTTCAGCAGAGGGGGCGTCGAGACCACGAATACGACCATGATCACGAGGACCACCACCGCTACCAGCACCACCACCACAACCACCATCACGACGACGACGCCGACGACAACGACGACGACGACGATGGGGCTCTCGTCTGAACTGCAGAAGGGGCGCTCGTCTCTCGAGGACCTCTGGAAGCTTCCGATGAGACCAGAAGCGCTCAGAAACTTGGCCCTTCCTCGTCGTCGTCGTCCTCCTCCTCCTCCTCCTGCTCTTCCTGCTTTTCCTCTCGGGCAGGCCGCGGTAGCGAGCGCTCGGGGCGTCAGTAAGCGGGCTACGCAATAATGAGGCGGCAGCCCGCAATGACAGGCCGAGACCTCCTGCTCCTCCGTAGGACGACGACGACGACGACGACGACGACCACGATTGGTCGCTTCCTGCATGCCTGGATGTGTCCTGGACGCTTGTGGGGGTTCTGAGGTCCTTTCGAACCACCGTCCTGCGAACTACGGCCGCGTGGAGTGTAAGAGAACTGCTGGAATGCTGGAACTATACTGGAACGGTGTGGGCTCGCGCTTGAGCTCCTGGTGACTCTCCGAACCAGAGGATTCTTTTTGGGGCTGTTTTGGGCCGTCTTGAAGCCCTCTTGGGCCGGCCAGGGGCTTTTCGGGGGCCTTCTTGGGACACTCTTGGGGGTCTCCTGTGGCTCTGTTGGGGCTCTCTTGGGAGTTCTCGGGGCCCTCTGGGGCCCCTCTTGGGCCGCCTTGGGCTTCTCTTGATCCGTCTTGAAGCTCTTTTGGGCCGCCTTGGGTCGCTCATAGAGGCCTCGGAGGCCGTCCTGGGGCGATCTTGAAAGTTTCTGGGGATGCCGCGGACGCTGTGAAAGCGGAAAAAGCTAATATCGTCAAAAGCGTACGCTTCCTCAGGGAATGGGGCGATTTTTGGTTTTGGGGGGTCCCTTTTGGGGCCTCTTGGACCGTCTTGGGGGCCTCGTGGGCCGTCTTGAAACTATAGTGGGTCCTCTTTGAGCGTTGATGGGCCGTCTTGGGGCCCACTTTGGGCCCGTGGGCTCCGATCGGCAGGGCGTCCAACTGCCCGGAAGGCCGCCGGGACTCCGAAAGGGCGTCCAGGGCGTTCGTCGGGTGGAGGGCAGGGGCGTTTGGGGTGTCCCAGGGGGGGGGTCCGGTTTAGGGGGCGGGGCGGTCCGGGTAATTAGAATGTAAGAATCGGAATAGGAATACCTTTATTTATTTATTCATATATATATACACACATACATACATACATATATACATGTTTACACATGTATATAGAGAGAGATGTGTGTACCTATATATCGATACATGTATATGTTGGGTTAGCGGCCGCGGCTAAGGAAGTGGCACAGGTCCCGCCTGCTTGGGGTGAGCCCTTCGCCCATGGCATTTTCCCTGGGCCAGATATTTGCGTTTCTCGGCCCGCGTTCGACCCTTGTTGGGCGCTCAGGGCCGTGCTGCCCGAGGGTAGGCGCGTGTTCTTGGATGGGTCAGGCCTCCACTCGAGACTCCCCACGTTGCGCACAACTGGTTGGGCCCGCGTGTTTCTGTCCGCTGACCGCGCGCTTGGAGGTGCGGTCTATGGGGTTGTGCCCTTGAGTTTGCGACCGCGCACACGGCGAGGGACGGATAAGACTGTGCGATGCCTGTGGTCTCGCGGCATGTGTTTGGCACGATCAAGGTCTTGTCAGATTGCAAGGCTGCCCTAGGCTTTTGCGCCCGTCAGCAGAGCGCCACCTCAGTGGCCAATCCTCGGGCTCACATGTGGCTCAGGGTGCATGCCAGAGAAGATGTTTCGCAGCGAGTCTTCGATCATGTGAGAAGTCATAGCTCGATGGTGCAGTCCAGAGAAGGGGTTGTGTCGCAGTCTGAGTTGGGCGGACAAATTCGCCAAACGTTGCCTCGTCGGACAGTGATATACTCCTTGTGGATGGTTGTCTTGCTATCGCGTCGCTGGTGATGAAGTTTGCGTCCAGGATGGCCACAAGGATGGTCCGTGAAGAGTTGCACGATCACTTGGGCCCGGATTCGATCCGTTTGGTTGACCTTGGCTTCTTGCCCGCCCTGCCCGCCTACCCCCAGCCTGGTCCCGAGGCCCTGCCGAAGCCCCTGGACCTCCCTTGGCTCCTCCTGCTGCCCCTCTCCCTGCCGCTGTTTGTGCTGTTGCTGGGGGTATCGGGGCGGAGGCTGACGAAGAGGAAGGCGTGGGAGGTGATGAGGCGGAGGATAAGGGGTACGTCATTCATTGGCACGGGTGCGCCATGACGTGTCAACGAGCACTCAGTGCTAGAAGCAGGGGTGACACGCAGCGAGCCGATGATTTGTTGCACCACTTGCTATAAGTACGCAGTCCATCGTAAGTAAGCAGCGAGGTTTGTGCATCCAGTGGGTGGGTCCTTGGAGTTTGAAGGGTGGGTCGTCCTATTCCGTCCGCAAACGCGTCAGAGACCTCCTGTACCCAACGGATGCCTTTTGGATGAGTCTCAGGTCCCCTCCGCGGCCACCTGTGAGAAGTGGGCGTTTCATTTTGGAGTGGCAGAGGAGGTGACCAGGCAGCCTTCTCGCCCCAGGGCTCAAGGCTTTCGGTTTTTCGTCCCAAGCCGCCGCAGTGGAGCTCGGGAAAAGAGCCGCAGAGGCCCCAGCACAAGCCCAGGAACGTGGGGCGCAGGTTGATCCGATGGCCGAGGCTGAAGAGCTTGGCTAGCGTGTTAGGGGGTGGGGTGCCCTGTCGACTAGGCCCTGAACCGTGGGGATGGAACCCTCTGCAAGAATGAAAAGGTCTCCTTCGATGGGCACCCCACAATTTTTCTTGTTCTCTCTCCCTGCACCCTCCCCCTATGCGCGTCGAACCTCCTCCTCCTCCCCCTCCTCCTCCCCCTCCTCCTCCTCCCCCTCCCCCTGACCTTTCCTGCCCCCTCTCGGCCCCCCCCCCATGCCTCCTTCCCAGGGGCCGAGGCGAGGGCGGCAGTGAGGGCCGCCCGGTGGCCGGCCACACCCCGCACAGGTGGCCCTGCGCCCCCCCTCTGGGCTCCGCGCCCGGGCTGCAGGCCCGACGCGGGGGTCCGCCGCGGCGCGTCCGCCGTCGACGCCGGGGGACCTTCAGTTGGCGTTCGGAGGTTCATTCAGCTCCTCTTCGTCCTCCGCTTCCCCCTCCGTCTGCTCACTGCTCACTTTTCCTCCTCCTCCGCCTCCTGATCCTCCTCCTCCTCCTCTCCTCCTCCTCCTCCTCCTCCTCCTCCCCCGCCGGTTCCAGACAGTAGAAAGACTTGGGCCGCGTCAGCAAAAAATGAGAGGCATAAAGAGAGAGAACCAAAACCAACGAAAAAACAAACATGTGCGTGCACTATAGTGTGAACGAACAATCCTTAGTGCAGGATTTGTCCCAATGAATGAATTATGTTGGTTGTCCCAATGAATGAATTCTGTTGGGTGGAACCGTAGTAAGCTTTCTTGAATGCGAGTGAACATCCTCACCGCAGAATCCTCAACATATAATCCTTGAGAAGGACGTCTTAGTATGGAGCCATTACGGATGAGTCTGTCATACAGGAGTCCTTGTAGTCTTTTTTTTTTTTTTTTGTTGTTTTTTTCCTTTTGTTTTTTTTTTTTTTTTTTTTTTTTCTTTTTTTTTTTTGTTTTTTTTTTTTTTATACAGGAGTCCTTGTAGAGAGATCTTTAATGCAGGATCTGTTCTTATAGTTTTTGAAGAGTCACGATTATGGAATACTTCACACGGAATCCTTACGAAGAAATCCGTATTAAGAACCAGTGGAACGGACCCCGTATTAAGGAATCGCGGTAAGGAGTCCGTGTTAAAGATTTTGTTCGAAGACAAGCTCCAATGGTTCTTTAGCGAGAAAGACAAGCCTTACCGATGAATGATTTCTGAAGAGTCCTAAAGTCAGAGCCTTCCTCAGGACAACGCTGCGGAAAACCGCATTAGTTAATCACTTTTCAAAAGAACTCCTTGGCGAGGAGTCATTACCCAAGAGCCCTTCAGTAACGACCCTTACAAAAGAAAGCCCGTAAGGAACCCGTACTAAGGAGTCGTTTGAAAGGATCCCTTATTATTTGAACGCCACCAAGTTGAATGACAAAGGCCCGAAAAGGGTGTCACACGAGCGGGGTAGGACCATCAACAATTGTAAACAACATGGTGTCCATATCCGAGGGCCAGCACGGTAGATAATATGCGTCCATGGTTTTTCAGGTTGCCGTGAATGTATAAACGTGGGCGCCCCTAGATTCACAAGAAAATCAAACATTTGGAAAGCCTGTTGTTACAGTGCTCGTTGGCCCTCAGACCTGAAAAAATGTCGCTGTACTATGTGTGCGCTGACCCCTTGGCATTACACGAGACGCCACGAGCAAGAGAAATCGGGACCCGCGTTAAGGAATATTTGTTGGCGAGCCCTTAATATAGAGCCTCACTAAGAAACTCTGCATGCAGTCCTTACTAAGGAATGATGTATGTAGCATCCTGAACAAGACAGTCCGCACTGTAGAACCCCTGAAGAAGAACGGTTTACAAAAGAACTCCTGAGTAGGAAGCCATTACCGAAGCGACCTTCTCAAAGAAACCTTACTGAACAAAGCCCCCAAGGTTTCCGTGCTAAGGAACTTGTTCTTCTAAGGAATGCGTAAAAAAGCGCCACCAGGCTGAGTGATAAGTATCTCAGTGTCCCAATGGATTGCGCACGAGCGGGCCCGGACCATCAACCACTGCTTTGAAACGTGTTTCAGGACCGAGGGCCAGCAACCACTGTCACTCTAACAAGTTCGTCTGTTGTTCAATATATCGTGAGTTTATATACTTGAGCGCACATCGACGAACAAAAGCCTGAACAAAAACACGAAACACCGGCTTTTTACAGTGTTGATTGGCCCGCTGCAGTGGCAAACGTGTATTTTACAGTGTTTGTTGACCTGACTTGACGCGAGGCGCCACGAGCGCGAGGTATCGGATCTGTTGCTCAGGGACCCTTGTTGGAGAGCCTTGGCACAGAGCCTTCCTAAGGAATTATTATCGAGAAATCCTATGGCGGAATCCGTTCTGGATCATCCTGGGCAAAAGAGTCCTTACTGTAGAATCCGTGAATAGCAATCTTTTGACAGAACCGCTCCTTCCTCAGAAAAAAAAATACCGAAGGGTCCTTCAGAAAGGATTCTAACCGAAGAATGTCCCGAAAGAACCCGTACTGAAGAAATTTTGTTCTAGGTAGCCCTTATCACGTCAGCGCCACCAGGCTTCAAGACAAAGCCCCCAAAGGTTGCCGCACGACCAGGCTCGGACCATCAACCATTGTGAAACACAAGTGCTTGAGGTCCGAGGGCCCGCAACCATTGTAATGAATCTGTTGTGTGCTGTTCTGGTTTCGCAGATGAACCTATTCACATTGGCCGTTGGGACGCGCGCCTGGCGCAGCGGGCCCCTTCTTCGCAGCCCTTGCCGCGGCCACGGGCACCATGTGAGGTGGTTCGCCCTACGCCTCACAAGTGGCGCACCTGGCTCTCGCGCTCGGCGGCGTACCTGGCTTCTCCACTCCTCTCGCCTGGTCACGCGATGTCCGCCGGGGCGGTGCGTGACCCCTTGTCACCCCAGGTCTCTGCACCGCTCTGGTCCGCTCCTTCCGCTCGTTCGCCGCCGCAGCCCGCTGGCTTGCCGCGCACTGTCCGTCGGGGCGGTGCGTGGCTCCCCCTTCCTTCTGCGCCGGTATGGCGCTGCCTCCTCGCGTAGCTCCTCGCTGCGCTTCGCTGCCGCCTTTCCCCGCCCAACCCCGCCGCCACTGCGCCCCCGCGCTAGCGGCCCTTCACGTGCTGTCCGTCGGGGCGGTGCGTGGTACCTGGTCATGGTCGCGCGCTGTTCGTCGGGGCGTTGCACGACTCTGCTTCCCCTGACCCGTTGCACCGATTTGGTGCCTTCCTGGCGCGGCTTTCCTGCCGCGCCTCGCCGCCGCCTCGCCCTCCACACCGCCGTTTGCGTCCCACCGCAGCGCGGTTGCCGGCGCCCCCCTGCGCCCGCCTGTGCCCACCCCACTCCGTGCCCTCCGTTACCAGGTCCGCCTCCACGATTCTGTGGCGCGGACCGCCCTGGGGCCTGGCACCCACGCCGCCCCGCGCCTGCTTCGGCCCTGGCCGATGGCTGGCGCGTTGCTGGCGCCCCCGGCGCCCGCCAGTGCCCTCCCCCGCTCCGCGCTTTCAGCTTCCCAGAGTGGCCCAACGCTCTGTGGTACAGTCCGCCTTCTGGTCGCCGTTCTCGCCTCTGCAGGGGCGGCCGTCTCTGCCCTGGTGGCCCGCGCCCCGGCCGCCTGCTGCCCCGCCGCCGCCCCGCCCCCTGAGGCGCTCGCAGCCGCGCCCCTGGCCCTGCTGCTGCTGCCACTCGCGCCGCCCCGGACGCCTTTCCGAGCCGTTGGCTTCGCAGCTGCACGAGCACGTTTGACATCGCACGATGTGCCGAACAATGACTGACAGCATTTTGCTTGTGGCCGTCCCTGGGCGCCTGTAGTTTCGCACTGCTTCCCCTTGCCCTGCCACGCGCCTCCGGCCGTGGCCCGCCCAGCGCGCGCTCCCAGGTCCCCTGGTCGCCGCCGCTGCGCGGCTGCTGCCGCCCCGGCCCGCTCACGGTGGAATCCTTCCGCTTCTGAGCGCCTCCTCCTCCCCTTCCGCCCGCGGCCCTTTGTCTTCCTTCCGCTCTTACACGCCGGACTATTGGCTTAGTAGTGCCCCTGCTTTGCTCATTCGTTCGTGCGGATTGCCTCTGCTTCGCCGCCAACGGAAAAATATTCTGGATTCCGCGGACATATCTACCTGGGGGGGCGCATAGATCAACAAAAATTGCAAAACTAATATGAGAAAAAAGAAAAGAAACCATAAACATGCGTTCAACGTGAGCGTGGGTCCTCTGACCTGAAACATCGACGTCTTGAAATACGCCTTCCATTCTCCGCCGTCCCTCTCCACCCTCGTCCTACCCATCACCCTTAATCTATCAGATTCCTCATCCCACGCTCCTCATCGTCTTCCTCAACATCACCATCATCATCAGCATGCCCCTCCTCCGCATCAACCTCCTCCGCATCGCCAGCAGTATCAACATCGCCATCAACATGTTCACCATTGTCATCGTTGTGGAGATCGTTGGCATAATAATAATAATAATGATCATCATCATCATCATCATCATCACTCTCATCATAACCATTCTCATCATCACCATCATCAACTCAATCATACTCACAGTCAGCATGCCCATATTCAGCATCGTCGCCATCATCACCATCATGTCATCATCGTGGCCATGATCACCACAACCACCACCGTCATCAGCTCACCATTACAGTCGTCATCGTCATCCCCGTCATCATCAGCAGCAGCAGCAGCATCGTCTTCATTACAAACACCACCACCACCATCATCATCATAACTACCACCATCACCAGCACAAACATCAGCATAGCATCAGCATCATCACCAGCAGTGTCATCACCAGCGTCATCATTATCATCATCGTTAGCATCATCACCAGCAGCAGCATCATAAGCATCAGCATTAACTGCAGCATCACCATCCCCATCATTATCAGCATCATCGTTCTCATCATCGGCAGCATCACCCGCAGCAGCAACACCGGCATCGTCATCATCAGCAGCAACAGCAGTGCCGTCCTCATCAGCTACATGACCATCACCAGCACCATTATCATGGTCATCATCAGCAGCAGCAGCACCATCATCGTCATCACGATCACCATGAGCATCATCCACACCATCCGCATTCCCATTATCATAATCAGAATCTCCATCAGCATCATCAGCAGCAGCATCAGCATCACAATTCTCACAAGCATCATCAGCATCATCCTCATCGTGTTCCCCCTCCTTTCTCGTCCGCCTCAAACATTATCCTCACCTTCCCCTCGTGTTCCTCCTCCGCCTCCGCCTCCTCCTGCTCCTCCTCGTCCTCCTCCTCCTCCTCCTCCTCCTCATCCCCCTCCCCCTTGGACGTTTGTAACGAAGACGCCCGCCTCAAGCATGGCCTTTTTTTCCGC